TAAAAAAACTATTTAATAGTTTTTCATTGCCCCGATTATGTGTTTAAAATATGTGTGAACAATGCCACAGTTTAAAATAAAAAAAATATGTTATAAAGTTATTTTAAAAATTTACAACAGAACTAAATTGTGTTCCAATTTGTTTATTTAAAACAATATAAGTTTATTAATTCAATAAACCCCGAAAACCTTTACGCGCCGGTGCGTCTTCATAAAACAACATTTTATTCTGTGTCGAAGAAGTATTTGTTATTCCATTTACTAGAACAAAGGCCAAATAACTATCTGTCTGATAGGATCGGGGGAGCGATGTTTATTGTGTGCCTACAATTTTTCTAAATGTGAAAAGTGAAAGAGGAAAAATCTGTTGAAAAATACTGCATGCGTACGGAAACAATGGAAATTGTAAATCAAAGGAACATACGTCTAACATGGAAGTTTCTTTGCTTGCAGTTATCGCGTGCAAAAATAAAACATTTGTGTTCGAATAGCATATTGAATATATGATATATATCTTCACATCAATTTCCTTATGAGGGAGGCGGGAAGAACCGAGTGCAAAAAGCGTCTACCTTCACATGTATCTCATACTTTAATCAACTTTCATAATTCATTCATGCATATACGCAGCTTTCGAAGAGTCTTGACGTGTTATCCGAGTTCTTCCTTAGATAGCACGTGGTTTGCACAATATGTTATTTTATAGATGGAGTCAAGAGTTATATGTTTACTAATTGTATCCCCTGGCTTCGCCCGTGGTCGTATCGTGATGTTGATAAGCCTATAATGTTGCTCGAGAAAAGAGTTATCAAATGCACTTTTTTTTAATCCGACTAATTCGTTGAAGAGATTAGTGCGTTCAGACAAATTAATCTTTTCGCTGTATTATCACAAATTTTAGTGATTCTTTGCAATACAAAAACCATAAAATCGACGTTAATTTTAAAATTGTTATTGTAGCATAACTAATATTTTTAGTTTAACAAGTTTTTAGTATGTACTACAGGCCAAGTACTTTCTAAAGTTCTGCAAAGCAATGCGGCGCTCTTTACGAGCCTTTGAGACTCTCTGGCGACGGCACAAATGTGCATCTCAATTTAAAGAGTCCGTTTCTGGAATATATTTTGTTAAAACTGTTATATAAATCAAAATATTATGTAATCTTGAATTTTTATCCATTAATATACCTTCTATCATGTGCGATCCTTTCGATGATCAAAATCATTGGAAAAGGTTTATATGTCCAACAGAGGAGAGATACAGACTGAAATAATGATATGATGATCCATTGATTAAAAAACCCAAAATTGGCAATCTCTTAAAAAATTGCATTTAATTTAAAATAGTTATCGTAGTTTAAAGCACGAGTATGGTCGAATACTTGCTGTGAAGAAACTACAAGTATAAACTTAATATTTTTACAAAATTTTGTAAATATTTCGACTACAAATGTCAATTGATGTTTAGAAATGATAGCAAAAATATATATGCAATAGTGTTAACGCCAAATTTTTATCTGATTGTTTATCTAGAATTTGAGATTATTTTTTACTGACTTTAAAAAAGAAGAAGGTTTTCGAGTGTATATTTTGTTTATAAACAGTTGACCTGTTAAGTTTTGTTTTGTTTCCTACCGTCCTCTACCGGGTCTATCTTTTAAGTTACTAAAACAATACACATTTGTAAAAGTTCATTAAAATTTATGCGGTTCCTGAGATCGGCGTGAACAAACGTCGTGACACGCAATTTTTAATTATTAAGATTTTAAAATCGAATTTACATTACAGAGAAATAGTAAATCGTAGAATATATATTTAATGTATATTCGAATGTATGTGTTTAAAATAATTTCACCAATAAAGGTGATCCCCTAATATCAGTAAGAGCCATACCTCTTCGAGATACTTCAATAAAACCAATATATGATTTGAACATTTATCAAATGCTCAACTAGGACCATTTTATTTGATAGCATACTTCATATTTGGGGAATCGCACCGAAGACAATCGAGGGCAAGCATCATAAATTATTTATATTGTTCTATGTATTCTTCTGTGACGTATGGTTCGGTACGGGCAACTTATGTGCCATAGTTTCCCGCAGTATTATGTAAATAAGGACAGCGTCGTGTATCCGCGCACGGTAGCGATATGAAATATGAACATTTGTCAACTATTTCTATTCTATACTTCATATATCTTCATTTATCATTTAAAATGATGGTCGTTTTCGATCCCCACATAATACATATATTTTTTTCATTAGTTTGAGTATTAGATTACCCAATGAACTTTCTATCATATGCAACGCCATCTATTAAAAATAATCCTAAGTAGCTATTCCCATAGAAAATTACCTATATTTTTTCAGCCGTACTTTTAGGGGTATTTAAACATTTTTTTTAAACCACCTTAGTATTATAAAGAACATAGAATAGACCAACCCTTCCTTTCCCGTGGGTGTCGTAAGAAGCGACTAAGGGAACTTAATGGCCGAGAGTTGAGCAGCAGCGTCTCTCTTAAAACATCACCAAAATCATCTCGCTTGATAAGTGTGGTAACTACTGGTATTAATAATAAATTGTATTTTGTATTTCCATACTAAAATTTCTCTAATGTTTCTTAAACTGTCAGTCAAGTATATTAGTTGGTAAACCCTCAAAGTAGAAGGCCTTGTTTATTAAGAATCTAGACAGCTAAACATCTGGGGATACAATTTCGTAACAAAAAGAACGCCTAAACTTAAACTCGTTTAGAACAGTCCAATTTCAATTTCTTTAAGTGAACAAGTCTAAGTATTTATTTAACCAGAGGGAGACTTTATACAAAAGTCGTTTGCTTGGGCACTTCTGTCATGAGACCGATGATCATGAATGATCATGTTCTAACCGTGACGCAGTTGTCTTTGCATGACTGTGCTTCGGTTTGAAGGATGGGATATGACAGTGAATTTACAAGATATAGAGGCATAACATCTTAGTCCTCAGGAATGGCAACGTATGGGGGTATCATGGGCGAAACAATATACTCTGTTTTATGTCCATGATACTGCTTATGTCTATAGGCGACGGCACCCACTTACAGGTGAACCGTCAGCTTGTTTACCATTCTAAACTGTATATAAAAAAAAAATATTATAATTATTAATTATATACGAGAAAGAGATGACCCATTCTATATAGGGACGACACGATAAATTTTGATACTATCATACTAAAATGTATTAAATGAATGGAAAAATAATCCTTGCTAATATTATAAATTTGGTATACACAAACTATAATGGGATGGAGAACATCATGCGGACGAAGTTGCGTGTAAAAGCTAGTTAGTTAGTAAATAAAAAAAATAAGCGTAAACCATCTTTTATAAGTCTAATATATTCGACTAAAACATTTACTTATTAATATTTCAAAAGACATGATACTGTATTATAATCAATTTTTAATATATTACTGCGAGGTTTTTTTTTTAATCTTAATTAAACCGCAGGAACTCATTACTTTTTCAATAAAGTTTAAATTAAAATTCTTTCGCCATTTTCTTGAAACATTGATTAAAAGTCCCTCGCGCACTTTAATGATTGAGGTACATGACTGGATTTCTTCAAGAAACCTATTATGATCCAAAGTTATGGTTGCTGTGTAGTGCCGTATGTACCTAAATTGTAGACATTTTTAATTGGCTTGCCATAAAGTTTTATTTTGTTAGACGAAACAAAAATATTTGAAATGTATATATAATTAATCTATACATTTCAATTTTCATATAATTAATCTAGCTGTAGCTTGCGGGTTTGCCTGCGTATAATAGTACATATGTAAATATATGACCAATCCGTGTACCAATTTTTACTCAAATCCGGTTAGTAGTTTTTGCTTAAAATAGTAACAAATACATATCCATCCAATATTGTTGCAAACTTTTGCATTTATAAAATTAATAGGATTTATTTAAGATGTCTTAGATCATATGACTTAAGACATCCTGAATAAATCCTGTGAACAAACTTTCGAATTAAATTTTTAAAACGGGTCAACATTTTTCTTCATTTATGCCCAAACCACACTATAGTATTTATTAAATATATGAGGAAAATTATATGAAAAGGTTAAGTAAAAAAAAACTAATACAAAATCTAGACATCTATATTTCAAAGAATAGATTATAGTGTAGAACATAATGATTCATATTGATGCTTTTCATGATTCAAACTGATTCGAGTCATTCGATGATATTAGTTTCCGTCCTCTCAAGCTAGAACTCCTTGCGGGGAGGGATTGTTAGTAATGGAAAGGTTAATCTTCATTGCTATTGCTATCAGGTCAAACTCCACGCGTTACTCCTTGAAAAACGTAACTAATTTATCGTTGAATTCGTCACGATGGGCCAACTGAACTGCCTTTTCATCCTTACCAATGATAACTTGTCCAATGTAAACCAACCTCACTGGTGCTCCGCCAGTATATACCGAAAGCGCAGGCGGGGTTACCATTCCATTATCATCCTTAAAAAAAGCTAGAATAGCATTTTTTTTATGCAACTTAGAATGGCAAACCAGCTCACTCAGTAAATTCACGCCATATCCCACTCTTCAAACCGAAACACAGCCATGCAAACACAACTGCTTCACGGTTGAAACACAAATGGGACAGAGGTACCCGAGCAATCGACTTTTGTACAAAGTCTCCCTCTGGTCTATTTATTATAACTAGGCAAACATCTGAACACCGAATCGAATCTGAAACTTCTGCACTCCGTTGATCGTCAAATTGTCAAGTAATTCTTTATATACTTTGTACACAATTTTGATGGAAAATATTTGTATTCCTAACATATTCGCATGTTGATATAATTTGCATCTTGTTATCTTCCGCCGAAAAGTTTTGCAGAGTCGCTAAGATGGCCGCTGAATGTTCGCTGAATTATCGTAACTTTGTTTCCTTAGTATTTCAAATGAAATTGTATTCGTTATTAATGCCGTTTGTTTATTGTTTCAGGTATAACGAGGCCGTGATGCTGACGACGGGTTTGTATTTATTTATGCTTACTTAATTATATATAATCTGTAATATCAAAATTTTGCTATACGGACTGTAACAAGTGCAAACAATTCGAATCGTTGTGCTAGATACTCAAGAAACAACTTTTTTTCTACGGCATGAAATTCGAAATATGAAAATTGAATATATTTTTAAATCTTTCAGCTATTTAAATAATTGGTACTACTCGAATCTGGTACTAAATCTTTTTAATTGTAGTTTTCATGGTACCCCAATAGAATACATCTTATATTTCTTCACATTTCTTGAGGAAAGATTTTCAGTTTCACGAAACCTATAGTTATATTATTGTATTATTTGTGTTACGTTCTGTTCAAAAAAAGAAATAGATTTGTTTGAATTAAGGGGATTGTGGCGTTTGTGAATAAATATTGGACACATTCATCGCATAGTTAATTGTTAACATTATTACTTTCTTTTCCATCAAGTAGGTTAAATAAATTGTATATAGTTATTTCACCTTTTTCTTGCAGACTGGCCGCATGTATACAATGAAATTTTAGTATTAGCACAGTATACATATGCTTCAAATTTGAAATTAGTAAGATACCAAGACACTCCAATCTTTTCAATGAGTTTTTTGATAATTCTCGAACGCCTAAAAATCTGTATATGAATATAAAATATATACTCCATTGTTATTATTATATCAACTAGAAATTAATATCACATTTTTATAAATTATATGTTGCGGCTAAAATTAAACAGTATAAATTAAAATGAAAGAAATATGTATTTTACGTCCAATAATTGGGCTATGAATGACTTTTGTAATGTTTCCAAGTAATTATAATTTTCCTTAGAGGGATTCTCTTGTTTAAACTTGCTTAACACTCATAGAAGATACTATAAACTTGTTGGGCTCTGTTTAGCTTGCGGTGCACGAGTTGAGACTGTGACATAGCGAGCTGTGGTAATAAACAGCTTCAAAGCTTCATTGAAATCTCAAGTTGAATTTACTGTAAAATTTTTGATTAGAGAAACGTAGAATATAATTGGAATTATTGATGAAATTAGAACATTTTTCCAAAGGCACATGGCTTAAAAAACGATTATAAATTTTAAAGGGGATCTTAAAATTTGTTGTCATTGTTCGCTAATGTTTTTGGAATGTGATCTGTATAAGAATTTATATTAAAAATTTCAAGTCATAACTTGAAAATCTATTAGACGTCCTTCTTGATATAATAATAGGGAATTCCCGTAAGGAAAGACATAGGAAAGTCCTGTATTCAATTCTTATCGGGTCATTTAAGAAACGAATTGATGACCATCAGCTTGTTTGACATTCCTAAGTCGCGTCAATAGTGAATCATCCATCAATATTATTATTTTTCTATACATATTTGTGATGGGTATTATATGGTTTTATCTGTCATTCATCTCCATTTGCAGCCATTTCAGTATTTACTTTCTTTCTTGGCTTCCACTTCTTTTTCGGTTTTCTTTTGCCATTGTGACCACCCAAGTCTATATACAATAAGAAAACAGTATCTTCATCCTTGTGCATGCTCACATCAAGATAAATGATTACGTCTTAAATTTTCTGACAGTAGAGTTACTTTTAAACCAAATAAATCGATATAATGTATTTTATATAGGATTTGACCAGTATGGTACTTTCAGCTAAGCTTAATTTATAGGTCCACTACGGTCGAATATAAAGAAAAATGTAAATCCGCAGCATACGTATACAATATCTACGTATGTATTTACATTTAAGGTTCCAGGTAGCTACCGAAACCCAAAAAGTTGACTGAGGAATTTCGAAACGGATCGTCATTTATATCTGAAACATGGCGACTTAAGTTTCATATATGTACCTATTCTATTCATAATATGTGGTGAAAATTGTATAACCTAGGTAAATAGACCATAACTGGGTCTCAGATCATAACCACAAAATGGAAAGGTATTTTGTGCTACATTGGAGAGGTAGACAAAGCAGTAATAGCTATATGAACCAGTATAGTTTCAGTATATAGCCTTTGTTTAAACATCAACCCATATAATCTTCTGTATAAGTATTTTCGTATTGTAATTAAAGTAGGTAGGTAGCTCGGCGTTGTCTATGTAATTCCGTTAGTCAAACACCAAAGATGTAATTTGCGACAGAATTGTTTCTGAGGGAATTGAAAAATTCCAATTTATTTTCGGGTGAAATTACAGGTACGTACGTGATGAGATTACAGGTATATATTATCTACCTATATACTATATTATCTATATATTTTTATTTTTATTTATCCGCAATTGAGTCGCTGTTGGTCAATTGAAATAAATCTACATTCTTTGTATTTTAATTTTTTGTCTGTAACATGGCTCAAACTAGGATAGTTTTACTGCATCGAAATTTTAATTTGGAGGATTTTCAGGAAAGTCATTATAAAAATTTTAATTGTACTGAACAATTAAAATTTTTGACAATAAAAATAAAGACAGTATTTTTGATAGCTCTTTTTCTTTTCATGTGTGCTTTCTTCCGTAACACATAATTTGTGTCTACCTAGATTGTGTCCCGCAAAAAAACCGATTTCAACTGTGACAATCTAAAAATTAAACTACTAAATCGATTTTGATAAAATTTGTAATGATCAAATCTGTAAGTATATCCTTTCACATAAAATAAAGAATTTTCCAAATAGGATTAGAAATGACGAAGTTATGAGGCAACAAATATAAAAAAAAGATTAGAGAACTGACTTTTTAAAAAAAAAATGCTATAGTACACGTTTTACCTATACTTACAGCAGACACCAGTCTCTCACAATACAGATTTCCTATACTTCACTGTATCTTAAAAGTGATTACTATTTACTTCTAAAACGCAGCTAGTTGGCAAGAGCTCCAACGACAATAGCTCGTCCCTTAAGTAATGAATAAAAGAATGAACTATTTACTGTCTTATGTGAAGGGTAAATACATATAACGATAAATTGCTATGTAAGTAGATTTTGTAACATCAAAAATAGTTCAGTAGTCGCACATTTAGTTTTCATATAGATTGAAATATTTTCATCATTTATCTCTAAGTCTGTATATAGTATTTATTTATTTAATTCTTTATTGCACCAAAATTATAAAAATAAACAATAACATATAAACTAATCAACTGAAATACAGTAGCATGAAGTACAAGTTAAAATATACATATGAAGGTACAAAAGGCGGTCTTAGTTAGACCATGCTTTGGATATAAATATTAACTCTCTCAGAGTTTATCAACCCTAAAATTGATTTCAGTTCATCAATTTACACTATCATATCAAGCGAACACTCATTCGTTCTTTACCCCTTTTTCTTGTGTAAACTTACTGAGATATTTTGTTATTCGGCTGCTTATGTGTTTTGTAGAATAACCTAAAAATGCTTGTTTATGCTGAAAGACTTCCCGCAGATCATTCTTTCGGGTTCGAAAGCGTGGAGTTACCCTGTAAGGATCTCAAAAAATATTTTCATACTACATCTATCTCCATAATCTCCATCACGTATTCCGTGGAAATAAATGAGCGGATTTGCCACAAGGGTGGACAGTTCGTAAGCAAAATTAATTTTAATGAAACAAATTTTAATAGGAAAAAAAAATCATCTGTTGCTAAATGAACTTTATTGATTAATCGAGAGTCAACTCTTGTATGATTCTTAAAGTTTTGTTTCTAATCCAGCCTCATGGTCGGTCGAAAGTTATACTTTGCCCTAAATTACTTAAATTACTATCAGACAGATATTGAACGATGGGAAATGCCGCTTCAGGCGCAAAAATGTTGATGGGATTATTCAGCTCCCGCCGATAACCTTTTGGGGCGTGAAATCATTTCATTTTTATAGCATTTGTACGAATCTCAGTGCTTCACATAATGTACAAGCATGATGCAGTCAAAATATCATTATTTTGATGTACGATAAGAGAACGAACATTTCCTCGCATGTTTCCGTGGTACACTGAACAAGACTGTAAGCTTCCTATACTGGAACCATTGACCTTTCTAATATGACTTTCAAATGTTGACGTTGGCGTATGGCCTCGATATTTAGTTCGTAAATTACAGGAGTTTTTGTGGGACAAATTATATACAGGATAGAATTGAAAGTATTAAGATCCTGTCAGAAGAATGTCCTGTCAATGGAACTGAAAGTTTTTTTCGAAATAATGGCTTGAAAAGTGAGAAAAAAATTTAAAGCTTGTGTACTATTGATATTTTTTACTTTTTTTTAGGACTCTAATACGGTTTTTATCAATAGATTTAATATTGTTTTTTGTTAATTTGTTGAAACATGACGATAGTTTTTCAAGATGTCGGAAGAAATCAAGTCGATCAAGTCAAAAATCAAGTCAACATAACTAATTTAATATTTAAAAAAAAATATACAAATTATATGGTGCTTGGAAAGCTATTGAAACGGACACAATAGTAATATTATTAATCGCTCCACAATGACACCATATTGTCTCCTCATTGCACCTGTGCGAAGTCAGGATAGGTCGCTTATATACTATAAATACTTTATTATTTGAGTTTGAAATAAGGCTTCTGTGAAACAATTATAATAATTTCAAAAGTGTACGAAGGAATACAGTCAGTAATCATTAATAATTGTTAAATAACTTGATCTATCTAAAGACTTTATATTATTTCACATAAAACGTTGGCTTTGAATTTCTTAAAACCTTATTATTCTGTTTGCATATTTAGATAAAGAATTATTATCCCACTCGGAGAGAGGAACTTTTATAAAAATTCTACAAAAATGTACTTGACATTAAATCCTTTACCTGTCCTTAGAATGAACAGGATAAACTTGGTAAATTAAATTCGCCCGAGAAATTATCATCTTTTTTTATGGCCTCAGGTCATTCTTCACTAACGTAATATTGTTACACTCCACGTTTTTTCCTCGACCCATTTATTTAATTCTTAATTAAGAAGGGAAAATGCTCGTCTTTTTAGTTGTAGCGTATAGCCTT